TGATGATTAAGCAAAAGGACAAAAAAATGAAATATGCTGCCTATAATAAGACTCTATGCAGCAACATTGGATGGATCGATCAGTGAGAAGCCAAACTTGCACTGTATAAAGTGCAAAAGCACAGTGTAACCTGCAGATTTCAACATTTGTTTGTTTGTAAAACTATTAGCTAAAATTTTTATTTTTCAGTTAAAAAACGGTTAAATGTACTTGTTCGTAACCGGATTTAACCGAACCGGGCTTTTTTTCTTACAAAAGTCAAGCGTGACCATTGTCTTCTGACTTTTTCTGTAGTTTTGAGATTTGTAAGGCGAAGAAGACCTAAGAGGACGATTCAGAGATCTCCCTTGGATCCTTCGTTGACCCAAATCTAACGGCCAATAGATTCTTCTACGGTTTCTTGTGCTTTAAGACAAACAAACCCTAAAACCTATTCTCCTCATCTTCACCATGGGATCATCCAGAAGAAGTTTGAAGCTTGGATCGTGAGTTTTCATCTCTTTAAATTGGTTTTTTTTTTAGATAATTTTTGCAGGGGTTTATAGAATTTGAGAGCTTTGGACTTAAATGTTGTAGCTTTAGAGATTTTGAGACTTTGGGTTTTACTTTCACAGGTCAAAGAAGAAGAAGACTACGAGGAGGGCAAAAGAAAATCTCTTAGACCTTCCCTACGATCTATTACTACTGGTAATTTCTTTTCTTCCATTGAAAGACAACATTCGTGCTTCTACTGTTTGCAAGAAACTGCAGGAAGCTTGTGTTTCTGTTCGAGTGGCGGATAAGTCTCCTTGGCTTATCTACTTCACCAAAACAGATGATGGATCCTATGAACTATATGACCCCTCAATGCAGAAAAGCTACAATCTTGAGTCCCCTGAAATAACCGGTTTTCGGGTTTGTTACTCTAAAGATGGTTGGTTACTCATGTACAATCCCAATACACAACAACTCCTCTTCTTCAATCCGTTTTCCCGTGATCGCATACCCGTGCCTTCGCTTTGGATGGGATATGATCAACGAATGGCTTTCTCTTGTGCTCCTACATCAGCTAGTTGTCTCTTGTTTACTGTTGTCACTGATGTCACTTTGAAGAAAATTACCGTCAAGACATGTTCTCCTAATGCTAAAGAGTGGACAACTACTATATTCAGGGAACGATTACCGCAAAACTTTGACAGTTTCGAGCGGATTCTCTTTGCAAATGGTGTCTTCTTCTGCCTCGCGGAAAGCGGTTGCTTATCGATCTTTTGCCCATCTTCGAAAACTTGGAGTGTTCTTCCCGGTCGAGCTCCCAAAGATATTGGAAACACCGGATGCTTCATGACAGAACACCAAGGAAAGATCTTTCTCATTTACACGTACAACCACATGAGCCCAACAGTGCTTAAACTTGAAGATACAAGATTGGAATGGACTGAGATGAAAACACTGGGAGGCTTGACGATCTACGCTAGCCCTTTGTCATCTGAATCGAGAGCCGAGCAGAATCAGCCGAGTGGAATAAAGAACTGTTTGTGTCTCTCTGTGTTCCATGGATTCAACAAGACTTGCATATACTATAATGTTGGTGAAGAGAGTCTGATTTTCTTCAAGTGGAAGAAACATGATCCGTATGGGAACATCTGGGTCATGCCACCACTCAACCTACTTGATCTCCCCTTTGTTTGATCTACTTCTCTACTTATTGTTATAGATTTGTCAAACACGCTATTTGTTTACACATTGGGATAATGGGAAATATCTCATAAACTTGTAACAGTTACAAACAGCTTTGGATTTCTGATATCACACTCACAAAGCTGATTGACAATGTTGTGTCCTAAATTA